AATGTAAAACTCACTGACAGTGCAGTTGTCAACACAAACCCATTCATTAATAACGTTACGCAATAATTCTGGTTATGTAATGAAAATCATATTTATGGCAAAATGTGGTATGAATTAGTGTTAAAACTAATTAACATTAATTAATTATAACGTAAAAATAAATACAATATTCTTATCTCACAAAAATACTCAAATTTTAATGCAAAAACAATTTATAATACCATTATTATCAATACAATGTATATTAAACTTTTTGCATAGCATTTACAATTTTACATGATTTACAGTACATATAGTGTACAAAAATAATTAATTTAATTTGATTAACATAAATATAAAACAATGAAAACACAAATCATGTATTGTTTTTATGCGATCGCTTAATGTGTTTAAATAAATCCGTTTTTCGGTAATAACTTCGTTCACAGCCATTGAATTGACACTTAAATGCCTTGAGATTCAAGTGTCGGTTCATATGAAAGTTCAAGTGATAATTGCTGGCAAAGCGTTGGCCACAGTCGGGCCAACCGCACCCGTACTTCGCCATATCGTTGTGACGGTTGCGGTGCAGTTTCAGGTCACGGGCCGTCACGAACGCCTTCGCGCAGCCCTCGTAGTCGCAGACCAACACACTGTCAGCCGTCAACTGGTGGTGAGCTTTCATCACATGCTGTTTGAGATCGTATTTCGAGTAAAAGCTATGACCACAACCGACGCTGTCATCTTCCGCAGCGAACGTACACTCAAATGGCCTGATATTCTGGTGTCGATTCGTGTGCTCCCGAAGCTGTTGCGCCGATTGACACGACAGCTCACACGCCGGCCAATTGCAGCGGAATCGGTCCGTACGACCTCTTGTCCGCCGGTCACGGGTGGCGGCGGTCGGGGAATGGGTTTCGTGTTGTGTCCGCTCGGATCGTGTGTTGATCCGTTTGGAACAGTCCTCCTCTTCGGGACACTCGTACTGGCGTTCATTCAAGTGAGTGGCCGTATGTGTGGCCAGACTTTCGTTGGTCTTGAATGTGGACAAACAGTCGGGCCATCGGCACAAATAGAGCCGGGAGTCCGAGTGGACAGTTGTCCGGTGTTTACGAAGATTGCGGACACTTTTAAAACTCATTCCGCAATTGATTTCATCGCAAATCACATCCAATTGAACGCTCGCTGGCGTCCTATTTGTGGTGCTGTCGTCGACGTCATCGTCATTATCATCGCTTCCAGTGTCTGTCTCTTCATCTGATGTCACCATTAATTCATTGGATGCGGTCTTTCTCTTCTCAGATTTTAGTTTACGATCTGATCCGCTGTCCGTATCGACCAATTGCTTGCAAATGGCGTTCAATTCTTGACCGTCAATGTCCTGGCGTTCACCCGACCGGCGATTGTCATCTTCCTCGGGATCGTCAGCAGCGGTTGTGCGATGTCTTGTGAATCCATATTTGGTGACAAACTTATCGTTAATAAAGTGGTAATAATTGTCTAATTTCTTCAATTTATGTCTATTTTCCACATTTTGTTCACAAATGCAGTCATTATTGAAAACTATTAAACAGTTTCTGAAGTTTTCCAACAGTTTGTCACAAATCTTGAGATCACGTAAAAGACACCGATTCTCGTCTCTCAACACTTCCAGCGGTGATGTCTTCGACAACAACTCACACGAAGACATTGCGCTTCCAGTTCTTCGGTAATTAACTCAAGAAATTATGGGATTATTATTTGAATTGCATTTAAATTATACACAAATTGTTGTTTATTTTCAAATCGCGAACTTTTATTTGTAGACATTTTAGTTGTTGTCATAAAAATTCATTCGTTAATAACGTTACGAATGTATACATAAAAATGCCCCTAAATTTATGACCACGATCATTTTCACTTACTGGTTAGTTATTCCAGTCTTTGAATTAATTAAATAGTCATGCAAATAATTTTTAATTAAAATAAACCACAAAATGACATAACAATTATAAAACACTAAACAAGACTAGACTGACAACGAGATGGTATAATAAAACATTGATTACATTTACAACTCGTGCGTTCACTACATCGGCAGTACAGACAACCACTTCCAACAACTCGAGAGGGGGTGCCGTTAGTGGCGGCAGAAGTACCCCTTTTTACACAATTAACACAAACTTATTATTTCCCAATACTTTTATTAATTATTCATTTTCACAATTACACCAATTTTCACATTAAACAATTCATTAAAATACTTGTTGTAAAATAAACTTCTTCGACAATACAATACTGAATACAATATTCAATTCAAATTAAATTATAATTAAATCATAATTAAAATAAAATTAATTATTAGAAAATGTATAATTAAAAGTAAAAGTGTAATAAAAAGCGAGAAAACAATGCCTCAACTCTACACTACTGTCAATTCTCTGTTACAGAGACTGTACTCTTGACCCGAGACTGAATGTCTCGATTCGCTTCAAAAACCTAGTCTTAAATGCTTTCTCGCTTTTGTCTACACTTATACTCGTCTACTATTGGATAAATCAAATACAAAATTAATATTTCATTAAGTGATGAAAATGAAGTGATAAATGCATTATTTCTTATGGCTGTCGTTTTTGTCGGTGCGGTTCGGCCTATGGTTCGCTGTATGGTTGGCCTCGTGTTTGTCAAACCGTTTCAGTGCTGGGGAGGAATGGTGTGAGACTTCTTGATGTGTCGACTCAAATCCTTTTTGCGGAAATAGCTTTTACCGCATCCGACAAAATCGCAGACAAACGCCTTGACATTGAGGTGAATGTTGTGGTGTTCAGTCAAACTCTGGTTACAGTTGAAGCGCTGTCCGCACTCCGGCCAACTGCACACGAATGAGCTCAGGTCTCCGTGACGGCGGCGGTGCAGCTTCAGGTCGCGGACCGTCACAAACGTCTTGTCGCAGCCCTCGTAGTCGCAGTTATAGACATTGCGGGCGTCACTCGTGTTGTGATATTTGGCGCTATGATTGCGTAAATCAAAAGCCGTGTAAAATGTTTGCTCACATTGGGTGCACTGGAAGGGTTTTATCCGCTGATGTCGGTTCATATGGTCGGTGAGTTGTTGGCCCGACAGAGACACGTGACCGCACGCGGGCCACGTGCAGGCAAACCTCGCTTTGGCGCCACCCGTGCGCTGCGACCGGTCCTGATGTGTGCGCATGTGTTGGGTTAGCGTTTGTCTCAGTTTAAAAGACTTGTGACAGCCGGCCATCGGGCAGACAAAGTGCCGGACGTCGAGGTGTACGGCCTTGTGATCGGTGAGCGCTTCTCTGGTCTTAAACATGGCCTCACATGCGGGCCATTGGCACTGATAGGGTCGCACTCCTGAGTGAATCGTACGCTTGTGTTTGTCGAGGTTTCGCAAAGTCTTGAACGTCTTGCCTTCGCAGCCGATCTCAGGACATATAATGGTCGCCATTGCGTCCGACGAGTCATCACTTGATGAGTCTTCGGGTGATTTAGGTTTTGAGCACAACTTCTTCGCAAAACCCTTTAAACTCTTACGATTGACCTTTGCTTTGGTCGCACATTGTTTGCCGCTATTTTCTTTTCGAGGCCTCTTCTTCGGCACAGATTTCACTTTGGGTTCATTGGGCTCTTCATCGACAATGACTATCGGTTCCAATAGTTTGTGGTCAGAAGCGGTGGCCGGGAATGCACTCAAGCGATTAGATTTGCGCTCACGTGTCGGTTGTCGAGTGGTTTTATCATTAAATATATTGTCAAACCCATCATCTCTATCGCCGCTCGAGTCTTCACCACTGGTTACAGCGGAGGACGTGTCCATCCTATTCGGGATCAATCTATTATCACTGTTTTTTGCTTCATTTATGGCACAATCATTGTTGATATCTTTGACACCATTAGTGTCGACCATACGGTGTCTGTTATCTTCTTCGGGATCGTCAGCAGCGGTCGTGCGATGTTTTGTGAATCCATATTTAGTGACAAACCTATCGTTAATAAAGTGGTAATAATTGTCTAATTTTTTCAGTTTTTGTTTATTTTCCACATTTTGTTCACAAATGCAGTCATTATTGAAAACTATTAAACAGTTTCTGAAGTTTTCCAACAGTTTGTCACAAATCTTGAGATCACGTAAAAGACATCGATTCTCGTCTCTCAACGCTTCCAGCGGTGATGTCTTCGACGACAACTCACACGAAGACATTGCGCTTCCAGTTCTTCGGTAATTAACTCAAGAAATTATGGGATTATTATTTGAATTGCATTTAAATTATACACAAAATTGTTATTTATTTTCAAATCGCGAAAACCTTTTCGACATTTTATTTGTTGTCATAAAAATGCGTTCATTAATAACGTTACGAATGCACATAAAAATGCCCCCAAATATATAAGCATGGTCATTTTTACATAGTTATCGGCAGATAATTATTTCTCGCATTAAATATTTAAATACAGTATTAAAATTTTGAACACATTTTGCGTCAATTTTTAACAAATAAACAATTAATAAATGAGATATTGTTTACAATTTATTTCAATCATAGTTAACGTACTTTATGTTTAAGTCATGAAAGTTTTGTCTCAATAGTAATGTTGAGTGAGTTTTTGTTTTCAAATGTTATTTGAACTGATTTTTGGTATAAATTGTGATTTAATTGTGAATTAAATGTTGTTTTGAATGAGAGATGAGTTTAAAGGGAAACCAGAAGTCAGTTATGATTAGTATTAATGATATTTTGGATGATTTAAGGCATGAAAACAATAGACTTTTAAATGAGTTATTGTTTGCAAACAAATGTCTCAATGAATTGAAAACTCATTTGAATTTCATTTGCAATAAATTGGAGACAATTATTACCGCAGAAGACAAACAACTCTTCAATCATTTGATCCAAACATTGAGTCAATTCACGGACAAGACATCACTCGTAGAGGAGATCTCAAGAAGTGATGAAATTGTTGTCAAACCTGTTGTCGAGAATACAACTGAAATAAAGAGTCCATCAGTTGTGCGAAGAAGTGATGAAACGATTACCACTTCTTCTGAGGAAAAGACAATCAAAACAAATAAAACAACAATTGAGACAAATGTTAGAAGAAGTGGAAGAACTGAACGCAAAGTATACACAAGTGTTTTGAAGACACCGAGAGATCCAAATCATGTTCCGAAACCCAAATTTGAGCCCAAAGTGTATGCAATACCTGATCCCGAATCGGATCCCAATTCACTCCTATTATTACGAAAAGATAATTACTCTCCGAAGACACAGCAGTTTATGTGTCCTAACCCTCACTGCCGTAAAGGGTTTGTTAGTTCTCTCAGACTTTACCATCACTTCCATTCCGTTCATTACAAGGAGAAGAAAATCGTTTGTCAAGAATTAAATTGTGGCAAAAGTTTTAAGACTAATAATGAACTGCAAAACCATTTAAGAAATCTTCACAGCGATTACCGACCCTTTGAGTGCTCGCAAAAGGGCTGCGATTTTAAGTGTAAAACTGAAGCACAACTCAATTTCCATTCAGTTATTCATTCAGACAATTATGCCTTCAAATGCAATGAATGCGAGAAAGCATTTAAAACTCAATATTATCTTAACACTCATTTGCGGATCCATTCAACTGAAGACACATTTCGGTGTCGTTACGAGGGATGCAATCAATGGTTTAAATCTGATCTAAGACTTCGCAAACATAAGATCTCTGTACACAACGCGCGGCAGAAGTGGTATCCGTGCGAATGGCCCGCATGTGACTATCGGACTAAGAGCTCGTTTAGTCTTAAAAATCACCGCCGCATACATACGGGTGAGCGACCATTCGAGTGCCGGTGGCCGGCGTGTGGCAAACGGTTTAGTACGTTTGGAATGCGCAGAGATCACGAGCGGATCCATTCAAATACGAAGAACTATGTGTGTCATTGGCCCGGATGTGGCTATCGGTGCGTTCAGAGCACTAATCTAACCAAACATATGAAAGTACATCAAAAGTGATTTGATTTTAATTTAATTAGTTTTGGTTATATTTTAATTTATAAATGTTGTAAAAATTTGTAAATTGAAGTGTATTTATAAATTGTAAATTGAATAAAACTTTTCATTTAATACAACACTAAAAGTATTGAACGTTATTTCAATTGTGAGACAATCCCTCTGTTTATGGCATTTGTCTCAACATTTGGTTACAAAATATTTGACATAAAATGTGATTTGAATTGAGTTTTGGTATAAATTGTGATTTAATTATAAATTAAATGTTGTTTTGAATGTGAAATGAGTTTAAAGGGAAACCAAAAGTCAGTTATGATTAGTATTAATGATATTTTGGATGATTTAAGGCATGAAAACAAGAGACTTTTAAATGAGTTATTGTTTGCAAACAAATGTCTCAACGAATTGAAAACTCATTTGAATTTCGTTTGCAATAAATTGGAGACAATTATTACCGCAGAAGACATACAACTCTTCAATCATTTGATCCAAACATTGAGTCAATTCACGGACAAGACATCACTCGAAGAGGAGATTTCAAGAAGTGATGAAATTGTTGTCAAACCTGTTGTCGAGAATACAACTGAAATAAAAAGTCCATCAGTTGTGCGAAGAAGTGATGAAACGATTACCACTTCTTCTGAAGAAAAGACAATCAAAACAAATGAAGCAATAATTGAAACAAATGTTAGAAGAAGTGGAAGAACTGATCGCAAAGTCTACACATGTGTACTGAAGACTCCGAGAGATCCAAATCATGTCCCGAAACCCAAACCTGAGCCCAAAGTGTATGCAATACCTGATCCCGAATCGGATCCCAATTCACTCCTATTATTACGAAGAGATAATTACGACCCGAAGACACAGCAGTTTTTGTGTCCTAACCCACACTGCCGTAAAGGGTTTCTTAGTTCGCACAGACTTTACCATCACTTCCATGTCGTTCATCACACGAAGAAGAAAATTGTTTGTCAAGAATTAAATTGTGGCAAAAGTTTTAAGACAAAGAGAGAGCTTAAAAAACATGAAAACAATGTTCACAGCGATTACCGGCCCTTTGAGTGCCCGGAAAAGGGCTGCGAATATAAGTGTAAATCTAATACACAACTGAACGCACATTCAGTCATTCATTCAGACATTTATGCCTTCAAATGCAATGAATGCGAGAAAACATTTAAAACTCTTTCGGGACTTAACTGTCATCAGAAACTTCACGGAAATGAAAACAACTTTAAATGTCGTTACGAGGGATGCAATCAGTTCTTCAGGAATACATTGCAACTCCGGAGGCATAAGATAGTGGTCCACAACGCGCACCAAGAAGTGTACGCCTGTGAATGGCCCGCATGTGACTATCGGTCCACTTGTAAGCAATTGGTTGACATTCACAGACGTCTCCATACGGGTGAGCGACCCTTCGAGTGCCGGTGGCCGGCATGTGGTAAACGGTTTCGTATACGAAAGGGTCGCACAGATCACGAGCGGATCCACTCAAATACGAAGAACTTTGTGTGTCATTGGCCCGGATGTGGCTATCGGTGCGTTCAGAGCAGTAATCTCACCAAACATATGAAAGTACATCAAAAGTGATTTTTAAATTCAATGTTGATATCTTATTAACTATTATATTAAAGATTATAACTTTTAATTTATAAATTTCAGTCAATTTGTAATTGTTATAATGGTTTAAATTGTAAATTCAATGTATACTGTAATTATTGTATTGATTATATGATTAGTTTAAATGGATTTAAGTTTTGTCATCAAATCAGCACAAAATGACAGTCAATTGTCATTTACTTTATCCATGCTTTTATTTAAATTTCATATAATTTATGTTATATTTTAACAATTTGTAATTTATATAAGTTTAACTGCAATTTTTACCTGAAAATAAAATAGATCAAAAATTATAAATTATTTGTAATATAATTAAAACTTAAATAAAACACAAGTAAAACAACAAGTTTTCAAAGTGTGCGCCAAAAGTGCAAATATGGTGTAAATGTGGAGACAATCCCTGATTATTATTGTTTTGTTTGTCAATCAAAACAACATTTTCTAATATTTCGCGAAACAAAAAACATGTGTTTTTCAAACAATTAATTAATCACTGAATCGACGATCACTTCCAATCAGCCGAAGANTGTAAATGTGGAGACAATCCCTGATTATTATTGTTTTGTTTGTCAATCAAAACAACATTTTCTAATATTTCGCGAAACAAAAAACATGTGTTTTTCAAACAATTAATTAATCACTGAATCGACGATCACTTCCAATCAGCCGAAGACCACAGCAATGGCTACGTATAGCCGCGCGACGGCCACCGCCGGCCGCGGAGACGGCGACCAGCGATTGGTGGACGAGTTGAGGGCCGATAACCAACTATTGGCGGCCAAAGTGTCTCACTATCAGACGTGTGTGGATGTGTTGGAGGCGTACCGCAAGTGGTTAATCATATTCACCAACAA